GTGTGTGTGTGTGTGTGCGTGTGTGTGTTCCAGGTATTACTCATGTTGTGGGGACCTAAAGCTGTTTAACCTACACTGTCGCATTATGGGGAATCAAAATCAATAACATAAATCATTACATTTTGAGGAGAAGACAAGATTTAAGGTTTTAAAGGTTTAGCTTAAAGTTAGACAAGTAGTAACTGGTTAAGTTATAGTAAGTCTCCAGGAAATCTATGTAAGTCAAGGTAATGGTTTTGTGCTATAATGAGGTAAAGGTACATTTGTGTTTAGGTTTAAGTCAGAGTTAAGCATGGTTTGGTTACGGTTAAGATCAAGGTTTTGGTCAGGCTGTCCACAATGAATGGAAGTCCATGTTAAGTCCTAATAAGAATAGGTGCGCAAACCTAGACATGAAGTGACCCTTTAAGAAATTCTCTATTCCCCATTATCTGTGCGACAGTGCCTGGTGTGTGCTGACATCAGTAAACACAGAGGAGGATGTCGGACAGACATAAAGTTCATTAGACTCAACGTATTTCCGTATCACCAGCACAACAACAGATGTGCAGCTGACAGTCAGCAGCTGCGAATCTGACGCTGTGACCTTCAACAACACATCATTCTGAGCTGAGTCAAAATAAACACACAGTCACAAGATGTGTGAACAGTGAGATAATGATCAGTTGACAGAATAAAAAAAGTTTCCTGTTTGTGAGACAATTGCAACTCATCTATCAACCACAACCTGATGCTGATACTATGTGATACTAATTGCACCACATAAATTAATGAGTATTTGCTTAATGAGCCTGCAGCGCAGGATACAAAGAGCCACACTTGCTGTGAAGAGAGGATGGGGGGGGGGGGAAGAGAGAGACAACTGGCTTTGCAGGGAGTAAAAAAAAAAACAGCAGACTGCATCAGAAGCAGTGTTTTTATTACTTCCTGCCATAAAGACAACTAAAAATGGCCAAAATCTCTATTTGGCAAGCACAGGGAGGGAAGTGGATATCTAAATATTTCAGGTTTGATTATGCTGGTAACAAAACACGTCATTTTCCTGCAGCCTCCACTGTTCTCCGTTGTGGACAGTGCAGATATGCGATGTTGCCTGTTTAGGCTTTCATATTAAAAAATAGAGCCGGTAAAGCCGACAGAGCAGTTCAAGCACATCCTCTGAGGAATCAGGGAGAGAGCGTTCCTCCTCCCGCCAAAGAAATTGCTTTTGTAAAATACCAAAACAATAAAGGAAGATGTGTTTGCAGCTGATAACGGTTCATAGGGCTTTTAAAATCAAAAATCCCAACAATTTCTTCCATCCGTCCATGTAGAATGGATGGCAGGTGAAATAGAGTCTCCTCTGATGAGGGTATCATTATCGGACAAGTTGTGAGTGTGACGAACACGTGGAACAGCCTCTGACCATAAATCTGAGCCACACAGGAAACAACAGGACAATGATTGGGCAAGAAAGTGGATTCCAGAAGCTTTGACTAACAGACGAACTGATTCACCTCTTACTTCTTCTTTATTCTCAAGCTTTTGGAAATTCGTCAACTTTTTTTTTTTAGGGGTGAGTGATGTGTGCAGAGTCAGAAAAATGTGAGTTTGAGTAAGAGGCACCGAAATGTAATAACTTCGGGATGACAAGAAAATTGCATTTTAAGGATGCATCTGCTCCGCGCTGATAATACTCACGCTCAGTCTCTCTCGCTCTCCTCCGCGCGCGCTCCCTCTCTCGCTCTCTGCGGTGGCTCAGCAGAGACTCTGTGCCCGTCTCGGTGTCCAGGCCGTCTCGACTGCTGACCGCGTTGGCACTGCAACACACACACATCACAAAAGCGTCCCTCAGATTCATAATGAACAAAACACACACTTTCTGCCTCCCTCACAGAAAATCTTTCAGATTAATTAACACTGGTGAACATAATCCCCCAGCCACAATATACTTCTGTCCGTTATAATATCAGTTTGCCTGCCATTCAACCTTAGGGGAATATGGAACTCATATTATGACTGTTTCAAATTCAGTCCCTCTGGCCAAAACAGCACTTTCATTGTTCTGTGGTATGTGATGTGTTTTTCACTAAGTGTCATTAATGACCAGATACCCTGAGAGGGAGCCATTCTGCACAATACTTGCATTAATGAGACCTTTTGAAAGCCCAGATGGTGCCTGGAGCGTGATTGGGAGAGAGACAGACAGGGGAGAATGACAGATCGCATTAAAAAAGCCAGAAGTGGTAGATCAGGTGTGGACCGAGCAAAGAGGCCTGTGTACTTGGGGTCTGGGAGGAGTCTGAGTGGCTCTAGAGGGGCTGGAGGGCAGATTGTTATTCTGTCAGAGGGCTGGAGACGCTGTGGCCTCAGGCACCAGGGTTAAGGGACGTACACAGCCACCAGGCACCTAGGAAACCTGAAGCCGGTGAGAACTCTACTCAACCCTGTCAGTCTGTCACACACACTTAGACATGTGTGCAACATGTACTTTACACCTGCATAAATAATCAAACTCGCCTTCATGCCCACTCACGCTCACGTTTCAGAGCTCGTAGAGTACACGAACACGTGTTGTATTCATGAATAGAAATAAAACACAAAGTCGATCTTGCAGTGGCTTCATTTTCACTGTCACACACCTCAGTGGCGATATGCGAGAGATCAATGCAAATTAAAAACTCAAAAGTCGACAGGATGCTGCGTCTGTTGTGTTCCCTCAGCGGGAATAAGTGCTCAATGAGGCATGCTTACACGCTTCGGCTGCAGAGTGCTAATGGGTGCACCTGGGCAGGACCTCACCAGCACAGATCACCGCATGTTTGCAAATATCACCAAAGATGCACAGTTTGGATGCATTTCTATCGGTAGTGATCGGGAGGCAGCGTGACGACTGATGTGGTGACAATCAGGCGGTCAGCGGCGGGCCTGCTGATCCGGGGGGGGGGGATTATCCAAGGCGCTTGGGCTGCAGCTGTGAACAAATGCCACCTCCTTTCAACCCCCTTCCCCACACACACACCCACCCAGCCCACTCCTCATTGCTGCCAATAGCCACCTCCTCCCTCTAGGGAAATGGAGATGGGCGCTTTTTAATGTACGTTAATCCGGATTACCAGGCTGCAGCACATCAGTTGTGTCCATTCGCAGAAACACCTATTCTGTGTGCTCATCAAATAGAGCCATTCACACGACAAACACATGAAATGCATGAATAAAGCACAAAGGGAAAATGAAGTGGTAATAATATTCTAGCTATTTACCGAGAGCGGTAAAAGGTGGGAGACTGGATTAATTTCAGGGGGAGAGGGCGTTCGCTGTGGGGAATTCCACGCTGCTTCTCTGAGAGAAAGGCCTCTGCCCGTCTGACTCAAAGAGAGAAACAGAAAGGGAGAGTAAGGGAGGGAGGGGGCGGGCTGGGGGGATATGACGTGGGGGTAAAGGGGGCTGGCACACTTTCATTTCACTCCACAAGGGGGCGGTAATCCTGGTGAGAGCTGGCCCTGGGAACAATAAAACCATCAGGACGGCTGACAGGCCAAACAGCAGGGAGCGGCCCACAGAGGGCAAAAGTGAGCTGAGATGTCAAACAGTGGATAAAGAGATACACACAGACATGACAGATTGCTTGTTCTCAATATAGAGCCTCAGTCATATTGCTCTGGCGATGCATTGGCAACAACTCTCGCCCCCACTGCCCCCCAGTCCGTCCAGTTATATTTAGCTGGGGACGTCTCCTCAGCTGGTACGGTGATATTCTGTAATCTGCCAGGCTGAAGTTAAAGTTCGGGCTCAGGTAACCGGATTCAGGCTGTCAGGAGCATCTCGATTTCTGTGCTTTCAGGCCCCACTGTCTTTTTCAACCACATACGCCTTCATTAACCGAGTATGGATGAGTGCTCTGAGTGACTGGATACAAAGGGCCTCACTGAGTGCCAGTATTTGCCTGAAGATGTTTATGCTGCGATGGCTATTTCAAGAATCAGCGGCACTGGCGGCTCACGTTAACATAGATGAGAGGACTAATGTCGAGCTCCGCGGTTTGAGAGGAGGGGAGGGAGCTTATACATAAGAGGGAGAGCCATTCATGCATGTTTACACTCTCGAGCTGTAGCATATGTCATATTAACACACGGGCCACCTACACCTCCCATATGAGCCCCATGATGATGAGCTCTGATAAGCAATCCTCACTGCAATTAGCACATATTGTACTCTGTGAAAAAAAAAATTGTGTGCTTGAATACATCTGCCTACATGCATGCGTGTGTAATTGTGCATGTATGATGAGCGGTAATCAGCCTACTCACTGGAACGAGGGGGGGCGGGAGTCTCCGATGCCTCCTGTTCTCTCAAGAGGAGGGGGCAGCTCTGGGTGGCTCTCCGTGCACTGAGACCCTCCATCAGAATGAGCACTCTCTGCCAGGACCAACTGAGGGAGAGACGGAAAGATTCATTACGGTTTCGGCTCGGAGAGAAACACAAACAATAATAAATGCTTTGTTGAATGATACAGGCCCCATAGATCAAAAACAGCCTCAACACACTCTGCGATAAACACGGTGATGCTGCCACCACAGAGACACACACAGGAGGAGTATGTGCATGTGGAGCAGCGATGAAATGAGATGCTGAAGAGCGGCCTGGAGATGACTGGTGGCGACGCATAAACAACTTGAGAAACACAGCGAGGGAACGGAAACTTAAAAGACCTCGCTGCTTTTACCCAGTTGAGTGTCAGTACAAAGGATGATGCAAAATGACCCATAGATTCAGCTACTCTGCTTTCATCTGAACCGGAATAATGAAAGTTAAAGCAGGCAGCCGTGGAGAGACTAACAACTGTATGGGATATGATTATTCTAATGTGAGCTCAGGTGTCATTAGTTTCTTGAGTGAACTCTGTTCCTGACTTTACTTTTTCTATTAGTATTTCTGCAGTTTCTTCACTGTCTGGTTTTCTCTATGAAAAACATCAACAATGAGTAAATCTCACTCTAGTCCTTGCTTCACCTGATTTATAGAAAATTGCAATAATAATTATTATAATAATAATAATGTGGTAATATGTATAGAACATTTCATACAAGAAATGCAGCTCAAAGTGCGTCACATGCAATATAGATAAAAAATAAAACATAATTCAGTAACCAGTAATTATCTACATGAACGTAGATGGATCCAAAGTCAAGTAAAAGCATGATATAATTCTAAATCACTCAGCAACAAGCTCATATCTGCAGCCGAACATAAAATATTTTTAAAAAATCACAAGTTAATATTGGTGAGCCCTGTCATTAGGTTGTAACTATAATGCTTAGAGATACTGAGGAAGATGGTGTAGCCACCACCGTGAGGCTGATTCTGACCTATGACCTCCCTGTGGACGAAAGAAAGGGAAAGAACACGAAAGGCTTTCTATTAGAGCCAGTGTGAGATTTATCCATTTTGAGCTACGAACGCAGAGCAGCATGGTGGACTCCATGGGAGATGAACTGTCCTGATGCAAATATAAGTGATGAATATTATAGTCCGTCAGTAAATTCCCTTAAATTCTTGATACAGTTCCTTTAAATGAACGGCCAGTTAAATTGGATTATACTTTGCTCTTAATCTTCCATCAATATTTACAGTAGCACCAAAGCTTTTGTGCAGTGGGATAGATTTATGATTAAGATGTAAATTCTCCTCTAACGTGACAGATTGATTTGTGATACTTAATCGTCCCTGCAGGAAATCTCTTTATCTTCTATAAATACAAAAAGTCAATAGAGTAACCTCTGTCAGTAAGGGTACACTAGATATATATAGTTTTGATTCCTTGTTTTATTATTGAACTCGGTCAACTGTGATTGTATTTCGTAACTGTGGCTAATTTTACAATAGAGATGGAAGCACTTATACTTTTATATCTGAGCTGAACAGTGAGCTGAAGGTGAAGAGTGTCTAAAAAGCTCTGTGGAGGCGTTACATGGCTACATTTACATGGACCATGAGTGCCACACATGTCTTTGGTTAGGTGCTGAGGCTGCTGGGAGAGTGGGGCCGCACGGGCACACCATCAATCTCACTTACCCAGGACACTACTCTCCCGTTGAAGCAGGGCAGCTTGGCGTTGTCATCGGAAATCTCTTCTTTGACCACCCTGGGGAAGAGGCAGACAGATACGGTTAGGTTTAACTGACCGGGAGAAGGACACGGAGTCAGCCGAACGACGCAAACCCAGTGCAGCCTCGAGACACTTCACTCTCCTGCATCGCTGACAAACACTGAGAGCTGTTCTGGCTTTCTCCACATGGCTCTCAAACACATTAAACTCAATGAGCAGCAGCGACGTCTATTTCAGTGATTTATGAACATCGTCTGTGCAGTTACACTAAAAACAATAATGAGATAAGAGCTGGCTGCTCAACCTGGCAAGGACAAGACCATAAAACTGTAATGATTGATTCTGACAGCAGAGGTGTTTCACAATGATCCACTGTATACGATAGATAGAGAGATAGATCGATCGATAGATAGATAGATAGATAGAAAGATAGATAGAAAGATAGATAGATAGATAGATAGATAGATAGACAGACAGACAGACAGACAAAAAAATAGACAGACAGACAGACAAAAAAATAGATAGACAGATAGACAGACAGACAGACAGACAGACAGATAGACAGATGGAAAGACAGACAGACAGACAGATAGAACTGTGACAGGGTGTCACGGCTCAGTAGTGTATTAATAGAGTGATCTGGTGTGTCAGCCTCCCTCCATGTGTTCGTCTTTGGCTGTAAATTCTCTACAAAAATACCTCACAGTTACCCTTTGACCTGCTGGGACACAGTTCAGATCACCTGCCGTGCTCCAGTCTGACGCTCCGGTAGCACATGAACACATGAAAACCTCACACACCGACACGGCAGCCTAACACACACATATATATATATTCACCAGTTTCCATTTATACTCCCCGTGCGTCTTTACGTGTCGTTTGTTTTTTTGTTTATTTTCAAAGAATTTTCCCCAAAAATTACATATCCGAGCATTTCTGAACTGTGTGGACATCTCATATTAGCTTCTCGGCTTTTCAAAACGGTACAAGAAAAGGGAAAGACTCTAGGAGAGCAGGACAGCGTAAGAAGATTTCATGCAAGGGGTGTCTCTTTTTCCACCTCTTGTTTGCCAGAACTTCCCTGCGACTGACATGATTAGCCAAGCTGTGTTGTGTGTGTTTGTGTGTGTTGCTGCTGCTGTGGGAGCAGTGTTGCAGGGAGTGGTGGACAGAGATAACGCAGCCTTGTAGCTGGAACTGACGACCACAGAAGTCTGCGGCTGTGGCCCGCTCCACCTCGGGGAGGAAGAGGGAGGGAGGTAAAGCCTGAATCTGCTGGCTGCTTGTTAGGTAGGAAGTGTTTGCATCCTCTCTTTCAAGCAAGACCAGCTGTAAGGTGACTTGTGAGGATGTGGGAGTGGCCCGTGCGAATGAAATTTCAGCAACGCTCCCTTTTCCTAAAGCTTGACAAGGACAACCAGTTCCTCACACGATTAGCCAACGTATTTTTTACAATGTCTGAATGTACCAGTGTGCAAAATAAATCTGTTAAACACTTATCCATCTGTTGAGAGGGCTGGAAACTAAAGGAACTGAAAGACAATTCCAGTTATAACAGATGACGTCTTCAATGTGCCGTGAAATACCCCTGACCTGCATTCTTTTCAGCTTCCATCTGATATCACACACACACACACACACACACACACACGCACATACAGAAATGATTGCTATATAAGATGTTATTATCATTATTGTGAAACCATTTAAAACCACTGGTGTAATTATTATGTTACAGGATAATCTTGCAAGATCGTCCTTCCAAAGAGCAATGAACTTAATTCTAAAGTAAAAACTCAGACTGACATTTGAATGAGAATCGATCATGTAAATATTAAACCTCAGGATATATGTTACAATTTCAATAAACTGGAGGCGATGGTTATGATTTAAATGAGCTCTTAGCTTTGTGTTGTATGAGGATTTTCAGTGTGTGTCTGCTCGTGTCTGTCGCTCTTCGCACACACAATCACAGGATGATGTCAGATCATGAATCATCGTTCCGATCTGAAGTCGCACCTCAGAGTTATGGTTGCGTGGTCTCACTCTGGACCTCTGGTCTGGTGCGGGCTTCTGTCACAGATTTGACTTCTGAGAGCTGACAGCTTTAATAGCTCTTAATCGATTTCACAGGATAATGACACAAGGTTTACCCCGGTGATCACTGAATATTCCAATGCCGGGGATATTTGTGTAGCTGGGGAAGATTAGACGTGTTTGTTTATGCTGTGGGAGACAGGGGAGGGCTGGGTAGTTACAGACCTAAACTAGAAACCAGACGCATGAGAAGAGCGTCCGCCAACACCGGCCAACAGTCCAAGGACTCTGCTGGGGCTGATGCTAATGATACTATAAACAGGGAAGCAAAATATTTGCAGTCAAATAAGATTGTGAATAGATTTGTGACACAGAGTCTGACTCAGTAAACACAATGGTACATTTAATATTGAACCCACGAGGTTTAGGCTTTACCACAACAACAGATGTTCTAGTTGTTTTCCATCATAACGTCACAATAAGACACTAAAAGACGGATATTACATTGTCAGTATAACAGAAAGCGCTTTTTTTGTTAATGCTATGACGCCTGAGTGCAGCATAACCTTCTAATGTCATAATCTTCAAACGGCAAAAACAAGGTGTTTTAAGGCATTTGTGCAAAAAAAAGCTGCACATTTGTTTGTGTCCCCCGACTACAGGGGCTTCAGCATCACTTCCTCAGCAGAGGAAAAAAATCCCCCTATACCAGCCCCCTGTTTTCTGAGGTACAATCCACACTGTTTCTTTCAGAGCTTGAGTTTGGCTGCTTCCTCAGCTCCTCAGTGCCTCTGTGACTTGCATTATAGTGAGGTCTCAAACCCACTCACCACCAGTGGCAATGACAAAATTAAAAAAACACCACATCATCACCTTATAGAGTCCGGATTAAAAAAAAAGGGGGCCTTCAAAACAACCCAGCATCAATTAACTTCCTGTCTAATGAATATGACTAGAAAAACAACCGAGGTATGAGATGTACATAAAGAAACGTCGTTTTAATTTGCCGGGGAGAAGCCAGAGCCCCTGGTTACATAGATTCCAAAAGGAGCTGAAATGGCACGTTCACTGCAGGCGGCTGAGGCGTTTCGGGGGCAAGCCTTTTACCAGTTTCATGAGGCCATTGCTTAAAGGCCCGATATGGCCGGCACAAATGTAGTTCAGCAATCTCATAAGAAAATGGCTGTTTTTTTCCAGCACAGCAGGGGGTCTACTACAGAGGACCTTGCACTGACTGCTCATTTACATTTCAAACACTGTCTATAACTGCAAGGGATTTGATGTTTTCCCTCTCTGCTCAGCAGTCTTATTCCTCCCCAGCTAATTCTCCAGCAGCCATACTGTCTGTGTGTATGCAGTAAAGCCAGCACGGCTACCACAAAGCGTTGCTATCCTCCGTGCCTTTGACTGAGTTTGCTTCCATACTGTGCCAGTGCCATACGGCGCTCGCAGAGCCTGAATATTCAACCTTAACTCAAAGGCCCGAATGCTCACGAATACGCTTTTATAAACTGTGCATAACAGCCCTGTGTGGACAAAACCGTCCTTTGACAATGTCCAATTCGCAGAAGAACTAAACATGCTTTGTTGATGCACATGCAGGAGCCAGTCGGCCTCCTGTAGCCGTGTGTTCAGCAACATGGAGCGCGTTCTTATGTGGTGAGAGCAAACATGCCTTGTTTGTTTCCATAATCTGCCTGTCGATCACCTGAGGCCCCACGAGCAGCCCGGCCTGCAGCGAATGAGAGGCAGGAAGTCGGGGCTGGGGACAAAGCGGCGCACCGAGCCCAGCCTGCCACCAGGAAGAGCCGGCTTCCCTCACAAGGTCAGGCTGCAGTGGAAATGTGTGACGCTCGGTCCTATAGACACTGCCTGGCCCTGCATTTCCTCCAATCGTGTTTTGCGATTACAGTGCTAGATACTAATGTGTGTGGGCTCATGTATGACTGTTCAGACTGGAATGAGAAACAAGGCGCTGACACAAATACGCCATTCCCAGCAGAGGCCTGATACAAGTGGATCTCACTGACCGAAGGAGCCAGAGAGCTTTGTAGACCTGAAAATCTGGATGGGATGAAAAAACGAGAGGACAAGGAAGGAACAAAAGAACAGAAGCGAGGAAAAAAAAAGGGAGGAAATATGTCTATTATTTTGAATTTGCATTATTCTTAATGTGAATTTCTGGGGTTGAATTCTCCATTAAAAATAATACTTTTAGTTTTATTGCATCATTTATTAATGATACGACAAGTTGTGCGGCATTAAATTTTCTTTTCTGGTTCCATAACAGCATAATCAGTAGTAAAATGATGCCCTTAGGTTTAAATAATTTGCTTTAGTTCTCTCCCTCATGACTACCATTGATTACAATATTGTATATTCTCTGTCCTCACTGCCTGTCTCTTCAACATGCTTTATCTGCAATCAAGTCTTTTTGAAAACTTCAGTCGCAGCTAATTGTGCGAAAACCTTGAAAACCCAAGGTCATGAGGATGTGCTTCAGTTTCTCATCTGATCTCCGGACATTTACTTCTCCACCTCTGGGGCAATTACTGCAAATGCAAACACCACTAATATAATTGCACCTCTAATAGTCCCAATCACTGACTTGTGGTTGCTGTACTCTCCTGGGATTCACCTGCAGTCCATCATGTGGGAGTTCGTAAGCATGCATGAAGAAATAAAACTCCCCCCAAGCTATCAAAAAGAAAACTAAATTATTTTTTAAATAGTTATTTCATTGTGAAAATCCCATGTTGCAATAAGCAGGCACAGGAGGAGAGGAGGAGGGGGGACCAAAACAAAACAACATGAAATCTGAGAACTTGAACATGTGGATTCTTTGTCAGCATCGCTCTGACATTTATTAATATGTATTGACATGATTATGGGTTAACACGGTGTCTGTGTGGAGCAGGGGTCTGGCTCTGCGTAATGCATGCGGGGCTGCGTCATTAGGGCTCTGGACAGATCCGGTATCACTTCAAACAGTGTGTGTGT